GATGCAAATCAATACAACATTTAGAAGAAAACAAATTTTCATGACCTGGCGTTAGGCAAAGGATTCTTAAGTACAGCACCAGAAGTATGATGATTAAAGAAAAATTAGTGAATTTAACTTCATCAGAATTAAAACTTTTTTGCTCTGCAAAAATGAAATTAAGAGAATCAAAAAAACAAAAAACCAAGACCCAACAAGCTACACGCTGGAAAAACAATTTGCAAATTGCACAACCCTAACAAAGAATATATAAAAAAACTCAGACCTCAACATTAAAAAAGCCAGCAATCCAAAGAAACGAGCAAAATACTTGAACAGACATGTCCCCAAGGAAGGCGCCTGGGGGCAAGTGGGCAGGGGCTGAGGGTCACTGTCACCTCCGTCAGGGGCGTGCCTGACGGACAGGAGGGTCTTTAACGAGCCCAGACGAGGGAGGGGAGCTCGCTGGGGACGTGAAGTGGAGCGGTGGTTCTGGAAAACCGCTTGGTGGTTCTTACACATCTGAACGTACACAGCCACTGACCCGGCAGTTTCCCTCCCGGGTTTTGATACAAGAGAGATGAGAACAGGATGGCGCTACCTTGTGTACACAGGTGCTCACAGCTGCTGCACACACGAGCCGGGTGCCCGCACCTCCGACAGTACCGCGGGTGTCGGCGGCAGAGCCGGCGTCGCCAGGGGACACAGCCAGGCTCAAAAAGCGACAAGCCAGGGACCACTCGACTCTCTGGATGGAGGGGGGACCAGGGGTCCCGGGGATGGGGGAGATTTGACAGCAAAGGGGAGCGGGGGGAGGCTCGGGGGACGGTACTGCTCGGTGTCCTGACGCGGTGGGGGTGCATGATCTAAGCCTGAGCTGAACGCCCCAGAAATGTGCGTAAGACGTTTCCTCTGTGTTACTTTTAAAATAAAATAATAAAAAGCAGATGTGTTGAAAACAAAAGAATGGAAAAGGGCTGTCTTAGTCGGTCTATGACCAAGTTCCCCTGGCTGGGGGCTCCTAAACCAGAGGGGTGTAGTCCTCATTTCTGGGGGCCTGGGGGTCAGGGAGTCAGCCACTGGGGTCAGTGGGCGCCCGCCTCGGGGCTGTGGGCACCCGCCTTGGGGCTGTGGGCTGGCCTGGCAGACCGATGGAGGGAGCAAGTCCCCATCGGGACCCCTGTGCGGGGACCCCCCAAGCACCGGCCTGGCTCCTGGCCTCCCCTGTCCCGTCACCTCCCCAGCCCCTCCCCCCCACACCGACGTGGGGTGAGCCCCACTTCGTAACAAGGGCCCAGCGGGAAGCGGCAGGAGGAAGCGTGGGTGCCTCGACACAGGGAAGCTGGCTGCTGATGGGAGGGGTGCCAGCAGAAAGGCAGCCGATCCAGAGAACCGGCTGTGTCAGGAGAAGTAATACAATCCTGCGAACAGGGAGAAAAGGTACCGAAGATAAAAAGCAGCTCCGGGAGCCATGGGGCGAGATCAGACAGCCCACCTCGCGTGTGACTGAGTCCCAGGAGGAGGCAAGAGACTCGAGGGCGGGGAATCCTCTGAGGAGGGACGGACGGAAGTTGTTCAAAGTTTACGAAAACCTTGAATTACAGGTCCGAAAGCTCAGAAAACCCCAAGTAATATGAAGCAAGAGAAATCAATGCCTCAACATCAAAGTCCCAAAACCAAACCTAAAGAGAAAACTTGAAAACAACCAAAGGGAAAAACTACGTCGCACACAGGAGAGCGTTAAGCTGAGCAAGGGCCTTCGTTTCATCAGGAGCCAGAGGCCAGGACACCGTGGGACAACACCTCTCAAGGGCTGAAGGAAATAACTGCCAACCCAGAATGCCACCTCTGCTGAAAACATCCTTCCAGGACAAAAGCAAAATGTTAATTATCAGAGAAACGCAAGTCAGAGCCACAGTGAGGTTTCACTTCACACCAGTCAGAATGGCCACCCTTAAAAAGGGCACAGACGATAAATGCTGGAGAGGCTGTGGAGGAAAGGGAGCCCTCCTACACTGCTGGGGGGAATGCAGTTTGGTGCAGCCACTGTGGGAAGCAGTACGGAGATTCCTCAAAAAACTAAAAATAAATTTACAATATGATCCAGCAATCCCACTTCTGGGCACATATCCAGAGGGAACCTTAACTCAAAAAACACATGCACCCCAGTGTTCACAGCAGCACTGTTTACAATAGCCAAGACATGGAAACAACCTAAATGTCCATCAACAGATGGTTGGATAAAGGTATGATATATTCATACAGTGGAATACTACTTAGCCATAAAAAAAGAATGGAATCATGCCATTTGCAGCAACATGGATGGACCTGGGGATCGTCATTCTAAGTGAAGT